ATCAGCCATCCTATGGCTTTTCTTTCTCTTTTTTTTTGGCCATGCCCCACAGCTTGTTCCCCTACCAGGGGATCAAACCTGGGCCCTCAGCAGTGAAAGCCCAGAATCCTAACCACCAGGCTACCAGGGAATTCCCAGCTACCCCATGTCTTTTTTTTTTTTAAATAAATTTATTGATTTATTTTTGGCTGCGTTGGGTCTTCATCGCTATGCGCGGGCTTTCTCTAGTTGCGGTGAGCGGGAACTACTGTTTGTTGCGGTGCGTGGGCTTCTCATTGTGGTGGCCTCTCGTTGCGGAGCATGGGCTCTAGGCACATGGGCTTCAGTAGTTGCAGAACGCGGGCTCAGCAGTTGTGGCACACGGGCTTAGTTGCTCCACGGCATGTGGGATCTTCCTGGACCAGGGCTCGAACCCGTGTCCCCTGCATTGGCAGGCAGATTCTTAACCACTGCACTACCAGGGAAGACCCTATCCTGTGTCTCTTGCTTGGAGCATTTAGTTCATTGACATTTAAAGTAATTATTGATAGGTACGTACTTATTGCGATTTTGTTACTTATCGTCTGGTTGTTTCCGTATATTTTCTCAGTCGTCTTCTTTTAGGTTCTTTCCTTATGATTTGATGATTTTCTTTAGTGGTATGCTTGTCTTCCTTTCTCTAGTTTTTGTGAATCGTATTTTTTTTTTTTTTTTGGCTGCGCATGCCGCTTGCAGGATCTGTTCCCTGGTCAAGGATTGAACCTGGGTCATGGCAGTGAAAGCCTGGAATCCTAACTACTAAGCCACCAGGGTACTCCCTCTATTGTAGTTTTTGATTTATGGTTACCGTGGGGTTCATATATGTTGACCTATAATTGTATCTACTTGTTTAAAACTGGTAGTCCTTTAAGTTCAAACACATTATAAAAGATCTACATTTTTTTCCTCCCTTCTCCCACATTTTGTGTTTTTGATGTCATATTTTACATCTTCATTTTTATCCATTAACCTGTATTGTAGTTATAGTTTATTTTACAATTTTTTGTCTTTTAATCTTCATAGTAGCATGCATATTTAAGTGGTTGATGGACAGCCTTTACTATATATTGGTTTTTGCTTTTTTTTTTGGCTGTGCTATGCGGCGTGTAGGATCTGAGTTCTCTGACCAGGGGTTGAACCCAGGCCCGACCAGGAGTTGAACCGGGGCCCTCAGCAGTGAAAGCTTCGAGTCCTAACCACTGGACTGCCAGGGAGTTCCCTATATTTGTTTTTAATAGTGGGATTTTACTTTCCAACAGATTATTACTTCTTGTTGTAGCCTTTTCTTTTTCTTAGAGAAGACCTTTTAACATATCTTTTAAAGTCATTTTATTATTGATGAACTCTTAGTTTTTGCTTGTCTGAGAAGTTCTTTATCTCTCCTTCAATTCTAAATGGTAATCTTGCTGGGTAGTATACCCTAGGTTGTAGGTTTTTTCCTTTCAGCACTTTATATATATCATGCCACTCCCTGATGGCTTGCAAAGATTCTGCAGAAGAATCAAATGATGGCCTTATGAGGGTTCCCTTATATATGACTCTTTGTGGGGGGGTGGTTGTTGCCTTTAGAATTCTCCCTTTATCTTTAATCTTTCTATTTTAATTATGATATGTCTTGATGTGGGTCTGTTTAGGTTCATTTTGTTTGGGACCCTCTATGCTTCCTGTATTTGGATATCTCTTTCCTTCTTCAGGTTTGGGAAGGTTTCAGCCATAATTTCATCAAATATATTTTCGACCCCTTTTCTCTCTGTCTTTTCCTTGGACCCCTACAAAGCAAATGTTAGTATGCTTGATGTTGTCCCAGAGGTCCCTTAAACTCTTCTCATTTTTTAAAATTTGTTTTCCTTTTCATTGTCCTGATTGGGTGATTTCCATTATTCATATTCCAGATCACTTATGCGTTCTTCCTGTATCACCAAGTCTACTGTTAATTCTTTCCACTATGTTTTTTGTTTCAGTTATTGTATTCAGTTCTGACTGGTTCTTTTTTGTTTCCTTTTAGTTCCTTGTTAAAGTTCTCACTTTGTTCATCTGTTCTTTTCCCTAGTTCAGTTAGCATTCTTATTACTAATGCTTTGAACTCTATCTAGTAAATTATTTACCTGTGTCATTAGTTGTTTTTTTCATGGGTTTTCTCTTGTTCTTTCATTTCCAACAAATTCCTCTGTCTTCTTATTTTGCTTAACTTTTTCTGTCTCTATGGAATTTGGTGAAACAGTTACTTATCTTGGCCTTGTAGTGGCATCCTTGTCTGGGAGCATCCCTATACTGTCTGTGTGTGCCAGGTGCCTTTGGTGGGAGAGCTGGATTTTATATGAGCATGAGTTACATCTTCCCCTATGGAGTAGTGGCAGCTTTCACCTTGGTTGGGGAGTAGGGCTAGAGATAGATGGGCTAGAACCAGAGTCACGTGTGAGCTGGGGCTTCTCTGCTCAGTGGCCAATACCACCCTATTGGGGATGGGATCAGGTCCCATGTTGCTGGAATAGAAGGTCTGAGGGTCAGGTCTGAGCTGGCTCTCTTCCCTCTAAGTGTGTGCTCTCCCCTCCCAGCATTGGCACACTTGCCCTTAAGGGGAGCTGGAGCAAGAGAGGCTGGTGTGGGTGCTTCTCATGGGTCGGGGTGCAGGCTGTGGTGGTCCTGGCACCAGTTAGAATTCCATACTACTCTTGATCTACTCTCTCCAGGAGCACCAACAGAGGCTGACTTCAACCCTGCTCAGATGCTGCATCGGGCCTGAGCCGGCTTCACCCTCTACAATTGTGCATTCTTTTCAGCCAGGACAGCCCTTGCCCTAATGTGGAGCTATGCTGTAGAGCAAGAGGGACCAGGGCCAATGCTCAGTGTGGACTAGGCATGCACCATGGCTGTCCTGGCACCAGAGTTCTGGACTATTCCCAATCCACTTCCTTTGCAAGTTCCAGCAATGATTGCCCCTACCCCATTTGGATGCTGCCCCAGGTCCAAGCCAGCCCCATCCCCTACAACTGTGCACTCCCTTTGGCTGTGGCAGCCCTGTCACAGTGTGGAGCTGTGCCACAGAATGAGCCGAGGCCAGAGTGGATGCTCAGCTTGTCTGAGGTATGTGCTGGGGTGGTACTGGGAAACAGGCCAGAGACCTGGGCAGTTTTAATCTGCTTCCTCTGCCTTATTTCAGGAGTAAGCAAGCATGTGCGTGCTCTTCATGAGTGGAGTCTAGGTTTCTTATAGCCCCACTGTCAATCCTGCTGGTTTTCAAACCACCTGAAGCGACTCATCTTCCTGGTGTTGGACCCCATGGATGGGGTGCCCAGTAAGTGGTTCAAACCGCTCACGCCTCAGGGAGGATCTCTGAGCCTGTGTACTCCCTCCGCATCTGTGCCCCCTCCAAGAAGAGGAGGGGGATTACACAGACTTGCTTCTCTTCCCCTCCTGCTTGATTTCATGTGCATCTTTCTTACACATTTGGTTGTATAAGAGTCTTAATGCCAGTCTCCAGTTTGTTTTCAGTAAGAATTGCTCTACAAGTAGTTGTATTTATGATGTGTTAGAGAGGGGAAGTGAGCTCTGTATCCTCTGTCTCTGCTATCTTGATCCCACCTCTCAACTTTTTAGTTAAATAAGTTCAAAGTTAAAAAAATCCTTTTGTTAGATTATCCTGTGTTTTGCGTATTTGTTGTTGTTCAGGAGATGAGGTAAATTAAACCAGGCAATTAGATATTATTTCAGATAAGAATTTTTTTTTATTTGAAGTATAGTTGATTTACAATGTTGTCTTAGTGTCTGGTGTACAACAAAGTGATTCAGTTTTACATATATATATTATTTTTCATATTTTTTCCATTATAGGTTATTATAAGATATTGAATATAGTTCCCTGTGCTATACAGTAGGACCTTGTTGTTTACGTGTTTTATATATAGTAGTTTGTATCTGCTAATTCCAAACTCCTAGTTTATCCCTCCCTCCTGCCCTTTCTCCTTTGGTAACCATAAATTTGTTTTCTATGTCTATGAGTCTGTTTCTGTTTTGTAGATGAGTTCATTTATATCATATTTTAAATTCCACATGTAAGTGATATCATACGGTATTTGACTTTCTCTGTCTGACTTTTTTCACTTAGTGTGATAATCTCTAGGTCTGTCCGTGTTGCTGCAAATGGCATTATTTCTATTTTATGGCTGAGTAATAGTCTGCTGTATACATATACCACATCTTTATCCATTCATGTGTCAGTGGACATTTAGAGTGCTTCCATGTCTTGGCTATTGTCAGTAGTGCTGCTGTGAACATTGGGGTGCATGTTTCTTTCTGAATTAGAATTTTCTCCAGCTATATGTCCAGGAGTGGGATTGCCGGATCATATGGTAACTTTTTTTTAAGGACCCTCCATACTGTTTTCCATAGTGGCTGTACCAATTTACATTCCCACCAACAGTGTAAGAGGGTTCTTTTTTCTCCATACCCTCTCCAGTATTTATTATTTGTAGACTTTTTAATGATGGCCATTCTGACCAGTATGAGGTGATAACCTCACTGTAGGTTTGATTTACATTTCTCTGATAATTAGCGATGTTGAGCATCAGATAAGAATTTTTAATTGAATAATTAAGGTTATCACATATGCTGTTAGCCTTATACCACCTATGTATTTCAAAGTGCAGAATAAGCATCATCACCAGGTAGTTTGAATATCTGCAGATTTCTTAAGATACTGTACATTCTAGTAAGCCCATGTTTCTCTGCAGTGGTAGAAATAAGATTATTCTTGTTTAGATCACATAGAAGAGATCATACTTAGCAGGTCAGACCTGTTACAAATAGGAGAGCCTAGCAAGGGATCAGAATAGCTTGCAAGGTTGAGCCTTCTTTGTGTTCCCAGAGTTTGAAGAGGACTGGCCTTCAGTGATAAAAGGGATTAATTACTGATTGTATGTGGATTTGAAGATCTGTGAAGTTCCTTCCACATCTAAATATGCTTTCCTCTTATCTACCAACAGGTACAACTGTAACTGCTTTACGATTGTTTAAGAATCTACCTGTAAGAAAGCAATTTTACTCAACTGCTAAAAAATGTAAAGAGGAAATAAAAAAGGTCCAAGATCTCCTCATAAACTATGGTATACTTAAACCTGATGTAAGGATTGTTTTTGTACATAACAAGGTAAGCATTATTGTAGTTTCAACAGGACATTTTTGGTATATGATATAATAAAGGGACAACATATTTTATCTAAATCAGTTAGATATGTAAAGTCTTCTTTCAAAATGTGTCCACATTTGTTTAGCTTTTTCTTTATTGTTTAAAGAGCATCTTTACTTTGTTACCTTGTACCTATATGAAATCTGATTGAACCTTTTATTTCTTAATTTCTAAGATAGGTGATTCTACCAAGAGACTTTTCCATCCAAGAGATGTTTGCTTCCTAACTATGACGATGAGTAAGACTTGTTCTTTTCCTTTAAAGAATTCACAATTTAGTAACATTTTCCACCTTCTATTCTAAACTGTTTCTTCTTTGGAAGAGTTTTTTGTTAAGTTTTTAAAGGAAACTCTACCTCATTTCTTTACATTTTTCAAAGCAGGGCTGATAAGGAATTCCTCCTGTTGCTTGATGAATCTTAGGGGAAAGAAAGGTTTACATATCTTCTGATTGTTATGTTTTTCATAAAATTCCACACATGCACTTCAAAATATTTAATGTAAGGTGAGTAGAACCACACAGCAGAAGTTTGGAAACCTGATGGGGAGTAGAGAGTTAACATTTATTAAGAGTGTACACAATGCCAGGGCCTATGCTAGGTGTGTAAAACTCCTATATCCACAGCAACAGCCAGGTGAGGTAGACATTATATCAATTTGCAGTTGTCCTCTGAACTCAGAGGTATGATACTCTGCTCAGTGTTGCACAGCTGGTAAATTGTTGAGATGGGTTTCAAAACTTTACCTGCCTACAGAGTATAGGTTCTTCACACTCTACTGTTTTGTCTTCCCATTTTAATACTACATTACATTTGTGTAGTTCTTTTCCAGGTTTCAGAGCACTTACCATAACCTTGTGGGTTAGACAGCCTTATCTCTATTTGTATGGGGAACTTGAAGCTCAGAATGATCTAAGGAATTGTTTTCTATTTTATAGTAAGTAATACTACTGAGGTCAGAACCCTTTTTCATCCAGTTTTCTTTCCACTCCATGTCTTTTTACTTGTTATTAAGAAGATTCCATATTAAACCAAGTTATGGTGGAATATTTATGATCAAAATCTTTGGTCATCTTAAAAAAATAAAGAAAAACATTAAGAATAGTCAGCCACCTGTTCCTGCTGGCATAGAGCTCAACCAAATGATACCTTGAGATCCCTTCCAGCTCTATCATGCTGGATTCCTCAGGATGTTGATAGATAGAGACTCATCCTGTTAATATAAATAACCCTATGACCTCTTGATCCAAAGGACATTTAGTCATTAAAAGTTGAATTACCCAAGTTAAGAAAATATTAAGGGCAGAAGAAACAGTGATCACGAAGGGAAAACAAATGGAAAAAGGTAAAACATGAAGACAGGAGGTACATTTTTATAAAAGAAAAGTGACTACAACCAAAGAGAAAAGTTTTAAGAGAAAACAGAAGAATATTATTGCCCTGTGTAATGGAGATGCATATTTAAAATCAAATATATATCTTCTAAGCTTTGAATAAGTTTATATTATTATCCCAATCTGTGTAAGATCATCAGTGTAGGCATTTTCTTTTGAAACTGGAAAGTAGTATTTTTTAATACACTGTATTTTATAATTTTTGGAAGACACCGTATCTGAACTTACACTGAGCAAACGCAGGTCTCTCGGTGGTCTTCAGTAATTTCAGATGCAGTTCAAATCCTGGAGAGTGTTATACCATGCAAGTAATGTAAGATTATCAAAAGTTTTATAGTAAAATTAAGTATTAGCTATTATTACACAAGGAAATCATGGACTCAATTATATTTTCAAGCTTTTTTCTTTTAGTATAAATTATTTTTTCACTCTTCTATTTATTAATAGTGCTGTTGTGCCTCAAATGTTATATTGTTAAATGTCCTAAAATAGCATTGATACATTATCATAAATCTCTTTGAACATTGAGTCCTGCTCTGCTCTTACAAACATGCTTATGTTTGTCATTCTTTATGTGCTTTTCTGAAGAATTTTTTTGCCTTAGCTTAAAATTTAAAGATGGCAATATTGTTGTCTCTTCTTTTTTTGAAATTTTTTTCTACATTAGAAACAAACAATCATATTGCACATAATATGAGAAGTACTATTGCTATTTTGACATCTTGGATTAAATAGTGTTCCTTCTTTTTATGAAGGTTTAACCTGCCAAGACATTCTTTGAATACTGATAATGTTGATGTTCTTGCCAGTATGGTTATGTTAGAAAGAGGTATTTTTCTTCTTTCATCACCATGTTCCTTGAAAGCATATTGAATAATGAGACAGCCAAAGAGAAATAATTTACAAGTAGATTCAGTGACTTTATTTAAAGTAGATTTTGTTTGGAGAAATGCTAGAGCCATTTCTTAGATGAGCACTACAGTCTTCAACTTTTGTTTTGTAACTGAATCCCTGTGAGGTCCTGCTACATATATTTTCATTTATAAAGTATCTATTTCCCAGAATTAGAAGTTTTTCTCAATGTGGTGATATCTGAAACCCACTTAGTAGTATTAGCTCTTTCATAAGTGCATGAGTAATTTTATAGACCACTAGTTTAGAACATAATGGTAAATATGTTATTTCAGATAAGGGATACTTTCATACTTCATACTTGTGGATTTTCGTGATTTTCCTTTGCTTAAAATATCATTTGTATTTTAAAAAATGGTTTTGAATTTAATCCTGTCTTGGTAATTAGAGTCCTGCTGTTATTGCAAAAGCTGAATTGGAGGGCTTCCCTGGTGACGCAGTGGTTGAGAGTCCACCTGCTGATGCAGGGGACACGGGTTTGTGCCCTGGTCCGGGAAGATCCCACATGCCGTGGAGCAGCTGGGCCCGCGAGCCACGTCCGCTGAGCCTGCGCGTCCGGAGCCTGTGCTCCACAACGGGAGAGGCCACAACAGTGAGAGGTCCGTGTACCGCAAAAAAAAAAAAAAAAAAAAAGCTGAATTGGATATTATTGACATAAGAAGATCTGATCTGTCTCTTACAAAAGAGAGAGAGAAGTAATTTAAGGAATGGCTTTCTACCTATCCCACTTACATGTGACATGAATGTTAAGGCTTATTGGGATGAATTTATTTATTTTTGAAGTCTGGAAGAATGATGACCAAGAATGAGAAGGAAGGCACACATTTATTAGATTATAAACTAAAGATAAATAAGTGGTAGTTTATAATCTGTATGCCTTACATTCATGTTATTCCCTTTGTTCATTTTATTCTACTTTGCATCTTTTAGCCTTTTACTCATGTTTTTTTGTTTTTTTTTTTTTTTGCGGTACGCCGGCCTCTCACTGTTGTGGCCTCTCCCGTTGTGGAGCACAGGCTCCGGATGCACAGGCTCAGCGGCCATGGCTCACGGGCCCAGCCGCTCTGCGGCATGTGGGATCTTCCCGGACCAGGGCACGAACTCGTGTCCCCTGCATCGGCAGTTGGACTCTCAACCACTGCGCCACCAGGGAAGCCCTTACTCATGTATTTTTGAATGTCCCAGTTTTGTTTCACCTGTGCTGTGAGGAATCAAGGAAAAGTCCTTTGCCCATAACTGGACCAGTATTAAAGGGTCACCCCTCCCCCCACCCATCCCAGCCAGTGTTGTGGAGGCAGTATAATCAAAGAGAAATTCCAGTCCAGGACTATGGTTCAAATGCCCCTTCCTTCTGAAGAATATATTCTTCCAGTTCTAACCTTGAAAGTTTGGGTGGTTTGTTTTTATTTCTTTTTTAATTAGGTGAAGGTGGACGTTCCTTCAGATATATTTTAAGGTTAGCTTGGGGCTCATTATCAATCATGATTGGTTGATTGTTTATTTGTTTTTATTTGCAAATTAATGATAAATTTTTTTAATGGTTCTCATTTTTCTTCTTTGTTATATTAACTTCTTTTACTTTTCACCTAACTTCTGTGAAATATTATATAGAAAAGATGAGGGCCATATATAAGTCAAATTCTAGTTTAGTTGATTTCTAATTTTGATGTTTGCTCACACTGTTAAAAAAGTCTTTGAAGTCTTCCCCTATCTGCCAGCAAGACTTAGTTATTATGTAGCTTTTTCCGTAGCATTTTCTGTGTATTCCTATTATGTCACTTTTGCTTTGTTGGAAATGATTTGCATTCTCTCTGCCCGTCCCAGCAGCCTCTTGTGGAAGGGGGGGGCCGCATCTTGCTTATATCTGTATTCCTCTTAATGCTCACTTAGCATTACAAAATTTTGAGTATACAACCATAAAAAAGAATGAAATAATGCCATAGAGATTATCATACTAAGTGAAGTAAGTCAGAAAGAGTAAGGCAAATACCGCATAATATAACTTATATGTAGAATCTAAAATATGACACAAATGAACTGATCTACGAAACAGAAACAAACTCACAGATACAGAGAACAAACTTGTAGTTGCCTAGGGAGAGGGGGTGGGGGAGGGAGAGATTGGAAGTCTGGGATTAGCAGATGCAAATTATTATGTATAGAATGGATAAGCAGCAAGGTCTTACTGTATAGCACAGGGAACTATGTTCAGTATCCTGTAGTAAACCATAATGGAAAAGAATATATATGTGTGTGTGTGTGTGTATATATATATATATATATATATATAACTGAATCACTTTGTTGTACAGCAGAAATTAACAAAGCATTGTAAATTAAAACCCCAAAATATTGAGTATAGTTCCCTGTGGTATACAGTAGGTCCCTGTTGGTTATCTCTTTTATATATAGTAGGGTATATATGTTAATCCCAAACTCCTAATTTATTCCTCTTCCCCCCCCTTTCTCCTTTGGTAACCAAAAGTTTGTTTTCTATGTCTGTGGGGTCTATTTCTGTTCTGTATAAGGTCTGTGGGGTCTATTTCTGTTCTGTACAAATGACCTGTATAAAGTCATTTGTATCTTTTTTTTATTTTTGGATTCCATATATAAGTGATATTGCATGATATTTATCTTTCTCTTTCTGGCTTCACTTAATGGTACAATAATCTCTAGGTCCATCCATGTTGCTGCAAATGCCATTGTTTTATTCTTTTTTATGGCCGAATAATATTCCATTGTATATATATACCACAAATGGGACATAATTAAAAGCTTTTGCACAACAGAGGAAACCATAAACAAAACAAAAAGACAACCTACAGAATGGGAGAAAATATCTAAAAATGATGTGACTAGCAAGGGATTAATCTCCAAAATATACAGAGAGCTCATACAGCTCAATATAAAAAAAAACCAAACCACCCAATTAAAAAATGGGCAGAAGATCTAAATAGATATTTCTCCAAAGAAAACATACAGATGGCCAAAAAAGCACATGAAAAAATGCTCAACATTGCCGATTATTAGGGAAATGCAAATCAAAATTACTAGCACCACTTTAAATTCACGATCACTAATCTTTGTACTGCCTGGTAGTCATACTGTGTTTCTCTCGCCCATTTTCTCTCCTGGTCTCCTATATCAGTGCTTTAAACAAACTTTAATGTGCATACAAATCACCTGGGGATCTTGTTAAAAGTGCAGATCCTGATTTAGAAGGCCAGGGAGGGCCTGAGATTCTACATTTCCGACAAGTCTCCAGGTGGTGCAGTTGCTGCTGGCCCATGATCCACACATTGAGTGGAAGTCCCAAAGGGCTATTTCATGTGTTCTCTTCTCAGACAGTCAAGTCCTTCTTCCCTATCTTCACAAGAGTAGCACAGGGAACTAGAACATAACCTGATGTTACGTCCTATTTCACTGAGAAAATTGAGGCAATCAAGAGAGAACTTTTACAAACTACCCACCTGTCTGCAATTGTGCCCATACATTCAGCCTTCCCTTCTGTTGCTATAGATGTATGTGTCATGTTTCTAGGCAAGGCCAATTCCTTCACTTGGGCAAAACTTCTTAAAATACTTGTCTGTATTCATTGTCTCCAATTACTTTCCCCCCATTCTCTCTTGAACCCACTCTAGTCAGACTTTCTCTTTCTGCCAATCCACAACTCTTACCAAGGTCACCATTGACTTTCAGATTTCTAAATCCAGTGGTCACTTCTCAGATCTTATCTTACTTAACATTTGCTACAGTTGATCTCCGCATCCTTGAAACACTTTTTCACCTGTCTTCTAGGTCAACACACATACTTGGTTTTTTTCCTATCTTTCTACCATTTGTTATCAGTCTTCTAGTTCCACCTCATATCCTAACTTGTAAACATTTAGTGTCCTGTGGCTCAATTCTGGAATTTATCCTCATACGTGTGTGTGTGTGTGTGTGTGTGTGTGTGTGTGTATAATTTATTCTCATATACTTTTCTTGATGTGCTTATTCAGTCTTATGCCTTTAGATATCATTTATACATTGATGACTCCTCAATTTTTATCTCCATTCTATAGCTCTCTTCTGAACTCCAAACTTATAGATCTAACTACCACCCCAAATCTCTCTTTGTTTTTTTTTGTTTTTTTTTTTTTGCAGTACGCGGGCGTCTCACTGCTATGGCCTCTCCCGTTGCGGAGCACAGGCTCTGGACGCGCAGGCTCATCAACCATGGCCCACAGGCCCAGCCGCTCCGCGGCATGTGGGATCCTCCCAGACCGGGGCACAAACCCGTGTCCCCTGCATCGGCAGGCAGACTCTCAACCACTGCCCCACCAGGGAAGCCCCCCAAATCTCTCTTTGGATGTTTAGTAATAAGCTCCTCACATTTAACATGACCAAAAGTAAGCTCCCTACCTTGTCTCTCAGAATTGCTCTTTACACATCCTTCTGCATCAGCATGTGAGAATTCTGTTTCTCCTGTTGGCAAACCAGAAGCCTTAGGGTTATCCTTGACTACTGATTCTCTCACACTTTAATCTGATAAAAGAGTAAATTCTGTTGGTCTACCTTCAAAATATATCTAAAATCTAACTTCTTCTCATCATGTCTGACTACCACTGTCGTCCAAGCCACCATCATCTCTCACCTGGATTTTTGTAATAGTACTCTAATTGGATCTCCCTACTTCCTACCTTTCTCTCTTTAGTCTATTCCCAGCCCAACAGCTAGAGTGACCTGTAAAAACGTAATTCAGGTCATGCAACTCCTCTTCAGTGAGTTTCCATCTCAAAGTCTTTATAAATGGGCTGTGAGTTCTACATAAAGGTTAGTAAACCTTTTTTTGTAAAGAGCCATAGTGTAAATATTTTGGGTTTTCTAACTCATACAGGCTCTCTTACAACTGTTCAGCTCTGCTGTTGTAGCATGAAAGCAGCCGTAGGTATTAAAACTTTACTTTAAAAAGCAGGCAGTGGGTTGGATTCAGTCCTTGGGCTATAGTTTGCTGACCCCTGTTATAGATGATCTGATCCACTATTATGTCTGATCTCATTTTTTTCTTTTCTTGGCTTCAGCTACCTGGCCTCCTTGTTTTTTCCTTGAACGTACTAGTCATACTCCCAACTCAGAACCTTTGTATTTGTAGTTCTTTGCTTAGAACATTCTTCTGTATATCTGGTTCAATCCTCATCTTTTAGTTCTTAAAACTTCTCAATGAAGCTTTCTTTAGCCACCCTAAAATTATAACCATTTCTCCCGCCCCACACATGTTTTCCTGCTGCTGCTGCTTAAAACTTCTCAAAATCAAATACACTGTATGTTGTATTTATGGGTTTTTTTTTTTTTTTTTTTTTTTTTTTTTGCGGTATGCGGGCCTCTCACTATTGTGGCCTC